CCAACTGTTGATAATGAAAGCAAGCATAGCCTACCCCTTAGGTCTGCTGGAGTCCTAAAAAGGAACTGCATGTAAAAATATCACGTCAATGAAAAACATAAAGTAAAAAAAAAAATTAAAAAAAAAACAAAAACAGAAAAAAAAACGGACAGGTCTTTCAGATGAAGCCAGAGTCAACATTGGAAACGAGCAGTTTCCTGATACCTACAAGCATTTCTACACTGGCACACAAGCTGGCTCCCCACCTCTCAAAAGAACTTAATCTGGTTTTGTTCTTTTTCTTCTGCAAATAGTTTTAAATACCTCTTTCACAAAGAATAAATTTCCTTTAAACTTTCTAAACATATTTTACCATGTTAGGATTTCACTTTTGATCATGCTGTCTATCCTCTATCTTTTGGATGTCTGATCTGTATGTAATTTGAATCATTTAGATTTAGTATGAAATTTAAATAGTTTACTTGAATCTCTTTTACTTTCTGCCATTAGCATTTTCACCCCTTTGCTATATAATGACCCTGTCTTTTTTCTTATTTAGAAATCTGCTTTAAATGACAAGCATTCCTTCATTTTTTTCTTTCCATCGCAAAGCCCAATGAACTTCAATATGAGTCAAAAAGAAAATGAATCAAATTAAATTACCAGATGCTGGTACTACCTTATTTAGATTTAGAAAACTCCTAAGGGAGCCGGCACTGTGGCAATAGAGGGTAAAGTCACCACATAAAGTACCAGCATTCTATATGGACGCCAGTTCAAGTCTTTGCTGTTCCACTTCTGACCCAGTTCTCTGCTAAGGCCTGGGAAAGCTGTAGAAGATGGGCTCCGGTACCCATGTGGGAGACCTGGAGGAAGCTCCTGGCTCCTGGCTTTGGATCAGCTCAGCTCTGGCCATTGCAGCCATTTGGAGAGTGAACCAACAGATGGAAGACCTCTCTCTCTCTCTGTCTCTGTCTCTTTCAAATAAATAAATAAATCTTTAAAAAGAAAAGAAAGGAAAACTCCTAGGGGGCAGGCACTGTGGAATAGCAGGTAAAGTGGCTGCCTGTAGTGCCAGAATCCCATATGGTTGCCGTTTCATGTCCTGGTTGCTGCACTTTTTTTGTTTTCCAACTTTTATTTAATAAATATAAATTTCCAAAGTACAACTTTTGGATTATAGCGATTCCCCCCCCCCCATAACCTCCCTCCTACCCGCAACTATCCCATCTCCCACTCCCTCTCCCATCCCATTCTTCATCAAGATTCATTTTCAATTATCTTTATATACAGAAGATCAACTTAGTGTATATTAAGTAAAGATTTCAACAGTTTACACCCACACAGAAACACAAAGTGTAGAGTACTGTTTGAGTAGCAATTTTACCGTTAATTTGCATAGTACAACGCATTAAGGACAGAGGTCCTACATGGGGAGCAGGTGCACAGTGACTCCCGTTGTTGATTTAACAATTGGCACTCTTATTTATGATGTCAGCAATCATCTGAGGCTCTTGCCATGATCAACTTAGTATATACTAAGTAAAGATTTCAACAGTTTGCACCCACACAGATACACAAAGTATAAAGTACTGTTTGAGTAGTAGTTTTACCATTAATTCACATAGTACAACACATTAAGGACAAAGAGCCAGCTCTCTGCTATGGCCTGGGAAAGCTATAGAAAAAGAACATAGTAGAAGATGGCCCAAGTCCTTGGGCCCCTGCACCCACGTGGGAAACCTAGAAGAAGCTCCTGGCTGGGGATAGGCGCAGCTCTGGTCATTGCAGCCATCTGGGGAGTGAACCAATGGATGGAAGACCTCTTTCTCCCTTTCTCTCTGCTTCTCTGTAACTCTGCCTTTCAAATAAATAAATAAATCTTAAAACAAACAAAAAAAAAAAAAACAAAAAAAACAAAAAAAACAAAAACAAAACACTCCTAGAGGCCTGTGGGGGATTAGGGTGCCACCTGCAATGCCAGCATTACATATGAGCACCAGTTCACATCCTGGCTGCTTCACTTCCAATCCAGCTTCCTGCTAATAATAAGAAGGCTGAGCCTATCTATTTACATATACCTTTGGGATGAATGAGATTCAAAGGTTAAATAAAAAAGCTGATGCATTCAGAATTCTATCTAATTTACCCATAGATTAAATATAAGAGTGGGAATAAGAGAGGGAAGAGATGTGCAATTCGGGACATGCTCAAGCTGACTTACCTCAAACGGTAGAGTTAGAAACATACCAGGGGATTCCAATTCAATCCCATCAAGGTGGCATGTACCAATGCCATCTCACTAGTCCCAGTGATCAATTTCTGTTCACAATTGATCATAATGATAGGACTAAGAACCAAAGGGATCACATAAACAAGAATAGTGTCTGCAAATACTAGCTGATAGAATAAAAAAGGGAGAGAATGATCCAACATGGGAAGTGAGATACACAGCAGACCCATAGAATGGCAGATGTCCTAAACAACACTCTGGCCTCAGAATCAGCCCTTAAGGCATGCGGATCCAGCTGAAAAGCCCATGAGAGTATTTCAGGCATGGAAAGCCAAGACACTCTGGGGAAAAAAAAAAAACCTAAATGAAAGATCTCTGCGAGTGAGATCCCAGTGGAAAGAATGGGTCATCAAAGAAGGAGGTACCTTTCTCTGAAGGGAGGAGAGAACTTCCACTTTGACCATGGCCTTGTCTAAAAATTATCAGAGTCAGTGAACTCAGGGGGCTTCCATAGCCTTGGCAGCTCATGACAAGAGCCTAGGGTGATTACTGAGGCCATAAACAAGAGTGTCAATTTGTTAAGTCAACAACAGGAGTCACTGTGCACTTACTCCTCATGTAGGATCTTTGTCCTTAGTGTGCTGTACATTGAGATTTAATGCTATAACTAGTACTTAAACAGTATTTTTCACTTTATGTTTCTGTGTGGGAGCAAACTGTTGAAATCTTTACTTAATGTATGCTAAACTGATCTTCTGTATATAAAGAGAAACGAAAATGAATCTTGATGTGAATGGAAGGGGAGAGGGAGTGGGAAAGGGGAGGGTTGCGGGTGAGAGGGACGTTATGGGGGGGGAGCCATTGTAATCCATAAGCTGTACTTTGGAAATTTATATTCATTAAATAAAAGTCTGAAAGAAAAAAAAAAAAGAAGAAGAAGAAGAAGATTTATTTATTTGAAAGCCAGAGTTACACAGAGAGAGGTTCCTTCTGCTGGTTCACTCCCCAATTGGCTGTAACAGCCGAAGCTGGGCTGATCCAAAGCCAGGAGCCAGGAGCTTCTTTCCCATCTCCCATGCGAATGCAGGGGCCCAAGGACTTGGGCCATCTTCCACTGATATCCCAGGCCATAGCAGAGAGCTGGATTGGAAGTGGAGCAGCCGGGTCCCAAACCAGCGCCCATATGGGATGCCGGTGCTTCAGGGCAGGGCATTAACCCACTGCACCACAGTGCCAGCCCCTACCCTTAGATTCTTAACTTCCTTCTAAGGACAAGGCTGCCCAGAAGCTGACACATGATAGTCACATTTCTTGCCTTCATGAAGATCTGAGTGTTGCTAAAAAAGCAGCAGAAGATGGCCCAAGTGTTTGGGTCTGTGGAAAACCCAAATGAAGCTGCTGGCTTTGGCCTGGCCAAGATCCGGCTGTTGCAGCCATTTCGGGAGTGAACTAGCAGACGAAAGAGCTCTCTCTCTCTAACTCTGCCTTCAAATAAATGAAATTTTAAAACAAACAATCAAACAAAAACTCCTTTTTTTTTTTTGAGTCTTTCTTTTTTTTTTTTTTTTTTTGACAGGTAGAGTGGACAGTGAGAGAGAGAGAGACAGAGAGAAAGGTCTTCCTCTTTGCCGTTGGTTCACCCTCCAATGGCCGCCGTGGCCAGCGCATCGCACTGATCCGAAGCCAGGAGACAGGTGCTTCTCCTGGTCTCCCATGGGGTGCAGGGCCCAAGTACTTGGGCCATCCTCCACTGCACTCCCGGGCCACAGCAGAGAGCTGGCCTGGAAGAGGGGCAACCGGGACAGAATCCGGTGCCCCGACCGGGACTAGAACCCGGTGTGCCGGCGCTGCAAGGAGGAGGATTAGCCTAGTGAGCCGCGGCGCCGGCCTAAAAACTCCTTATGTATAAGGGTAATCCACTGTAAGCAAATTCAAGATGGCTAATTTACATTTATTCATTGTTTGATTTTTTCCTTTAATAAATAACATGCATGATTCACTTGATCAAAGAATTATTTATAGCAGTAAGCTCCATTAAAGTTTATTAAAAAAAAACTGATCTGTACTGTAAAAACAGCTATATATTTTCCCACTTCAGTGACAATTTCTTCTTTGCACTATTTTGATTATCATAAGCCAACAAAGTCTCTATGAATGATTATGCCTCAAACCACAAAGGTCTGGCATTCACCCCGCTCCTGCCAACTGTGTTCCCTTGTCACTGTGAAGGTTAGATACTTCCCCATCTTTCCTAATGTCCATGGCAAGTTGGGTAAGATGAGGGAAAAGGACTTGGTTTAGAACAACTGAGGTCACTACATGATGTCATTCTTCTACATTCCTGCAAAATTTACCTTTCCCAGATATCTTTTTTTCATATGTCGTTCCATCACCAACAACAATAAAGCCAAATGCTCATGGTTTCTCAGACTCTCAAATACCCTTATTTACCACTATGTTTTCTCTTTATAGCCTTCTCTCCAGCCAAACTGTCTCTAAATTACAGTATTAATGTTTCTTCTCTCTACTGAGTCACTGCACTTCACCCTACAAATTCTGCTTCTCTTAATTAAACATGATTCATTTGTAGGAGCTACTCGAACTTTACAGTCTCCTTGATGCCTTTACCAACCATCTCTCTATGCCCATTAACAGTGAGTTTTAAATAGAATTATAAGGAGGCAATGAAAGGCATGTTGTTTAGGGGAAGATTTAACGGGCTTAAAAAAAAAAAAAGTATAAAAGCCCACACTCTCTATATGAAAATGAATCCATAAAATAGCTTTACCTGTTTCACTATTTTCAGGTAGAGATTCATATTCTGCATGATCCAGAGCCAAAGCATTCATGTCTGTCTGGTTTGACTCCTGTAAATCTGGTAACGCTGCATTCTCATGACTTTTGTCACCATCACCATTGACATCCAATCCTGTAATTAAGAATTGTAACCCAAAAGGCAGGTTAGAAGGATAACTTTCCCTTAAAACAAAGCTTACACTTGTAGTTACTCAGATTCTGTTAACTGGAATGTAAAGGATCTCTAGGCTCTAAGCACTGTCACAAAACACCACACGAATGTAGAATAACAACTTCCTAAAGACAGATAAAAATGAAAACAAAAGAGAAAGACTGGAGAGCAAAGCCTGGTCTCATCGTGACCAGGCTCACAACTCACCCTGCGGGCTGCAGTCTGCACCATGGCCGGCTGTCTCCTCCCATGCAGCACTCACGCCGACAGCTGCACTATTTGCTTCCAAATGTAACATATGAGTCCCCCATACTTTCGCATTGGGGTTTAGCTCTGAAACCTTAGTTGTTGGTACCTAGGAAACAATTTTGTACATGAATTTGTAAGCAAATATCAACCAAGTGTAATTCTAGTGATTAATGAGGTCAAAATGCATCCATTTTAAAGAAAATTTAGAATAAAAAGGCTGAGCCTATCTATTTACATATACCTTGTGATGAAATCAGGTTCAAAGATTAATAAAAAGCTGATGCATTCAGAATTCTATATAATTCATCATTAGATTCTTAAGCTCCTCCTAAGTACAAGGCTCCTCTAAAAGCTGACAAATGATTATCAGTCCCTGCCTTCAAGAAGATCTAAGGGGCAGGGGGCACCACCGTGGTGCAGTAGGTTAATCCTCGGCCTGTGGCACTGGCATCCCACATGGGTGACGTTTCTAGTCCTGGCTGCTCCTCTTCCAATCCAGCTCTCTGCTATGGCCTGGCAAAGCAGTAAAAGACAGCCTGGTGCTTGGGCCCCTGCACCCACATGGGAGACCAGGAAGAAGCGCCTGGCTTCTGGCTTCGGATTGGCACAGCTCTGGCTGTTGGGCCATTTGGGGAATGAACCAACGGAAGGAAGACTTTTCTGTCTCTCCCGCTGTAACTCTGCCTCTCAAATAAATAAAATAAATAAAATCTTTAAAAATAATACTATAGGCTGGGTGGTTTAAGCATCAGAAACGTATTAAAAAGAAGAAAATCTCAGGGTGTCAAACTGTATAACTGGGAGGCTGGCACTGTAGCACAGTGGGTAAAAGCCACTGCCTGCAGTGCCAGCATCCCATATGGATACTGGTTTGAGACGCAGCAGTTGCTCCACTTCTGATCCAGCTCTCTGCTATGGCCTGGGAAAGCAGAAGTTGGCCCAAGTCATTGGGTCCATGCACCCACATGGGAGACCAGGAGGAAGCACCTGGCTCCTGGCTCCGGATTGGCGCAGCGCGCCGGCCGCAGCAGCCACTTGGGGGGTGAACCACGGAAGGAGGACCTTTCTCTCTGTCTCTCTCTCTCACTATCTAACTCTGCCTGTCAAAAAAAAACAAAAACAAAAAAACAAACAAAAAAAAAACAAACAAAAGAAAAACAAAAAAACCTTGAATGGCTCCCCAGGGTCTAAAGTCAAATAAATGTCTTGATGGCAGTTGCTTCCCAAATACTAACTCTAGTTTTGTCACCATAACCCTTCAACAGAGACTGTACTTGCTTTTTCAACCGTACCACCAGCCTTCATACAACAACACAGCAAGTCAGAGGTACCTTAGGAAAGGAAAAGGGTTCTAGTTCAAGACACCCCTTGGGCTTGTGCTTAGAGCTTGCAGCAGTCTCAAATATGATACCCCAAGGTACAGCATAGAGCAGTACAAGATTCTGTGCTCTAAAACCCATGAAAAAGGTGAGGAAGTACCATAAAGAGCCATCAAGAAAACTACATCTAGATTAATGATTAACAGTTCCAAAAAGAAAAAAACCCACATTGGTTCAGATGAAGAGGGTGGTAGTGCAAATGAAGATGACAGAATGTGACTGATGTGGTTAACAACACAGTGTATATAAGGAGATCTTCAAAATTTTCATGGAAATGCACATTATCTTTTAATTCCATTTTTGTACTAGGGTACTCTGTTCATGCCTTGTAAGTGACTCTTGTTTCCTGCTCTTCTATTCACTGAGCAATAAACAAATTTCCCACAAAAAAGGAACTTAAACGAGTATCTATCTGGAATTTGTTGTTGTTCTAGTTAAGTATTGCTAACAGGGCAAATAGGATCCCATTCTCCTTCAAGATTATTTTACATTGAAACACCTAGTCTTCAGTTTTCCTTCTTACATTAATTTAAAATTCCAGCTAACTTTGGTCTCTGCTCCTGCAGAGTTAGTTTCTCTGTTCCCTCTTACACCCACCCACCTAATAAACACCTCCTAAATGCTCACTACCATGCTTGCACCAGGCATGGTGTTAAGCAATCAGGACATAATGGAGAACAGAACAGAGATGCAGGGTCTAGTCTTTATTTCATACACATCACACACTACCTTCATCAGCATTTAATCTTTTTGACTGGCTGTTTCTTCCTCTTTAAATGTATCTCTCTTTCCTACTGGTATACTGGGATAAAGCTCCTTTTCTGATTACGCTCAGTATCTTAACAACACACCTTCAAGTTTTCCTTTCTCCATTTTATCACATCCACTTAACTGACTTCTCTTAATGTACAGACTAAACCTTCCTTACATTCTAATCAACAGTTCTCCTTTCCATTTTTAGCACCTTTTGCAGCTGATGATCTTATTCCAGCAGTATGTATTTTATAGTTTATTAAAACAGATTATACATCATCCTGGAAGTAGCTATAAGCAGCACTCTGAGGCTGCTAGGGCATGGGTACACTTGGACTCCCACAGCACTCATGGCTGTGAGTCTGTTTTCCACACATTCTTGGATCACAGCCACGGTGATTAGTTAGCTCACATTGTACTGCTAATACCTTGCATAGTCCTAAGCTTAGAAGGAAGGCACTAGAGAAAAATGCTGAATTAATCAATTTTTAATAAAGTATAACACGGTTATATTTTCCATTATTGACAAATTGTATATGTTTTATGCCACAAATGAAAAGGACCCTATCCTTAAGCAGTTACCACCTCTTAAGCAGTACATTAATCTAAATCAAAATTAGGAATCTAGCACAATTTTAAGCGGTTAACCAGTGCCTAATAAATACTATAATGGAAGAGCTATAACAAAGGATGAAAGTTTAAGACTTAATGACATGGGGCTGGCACTGTAGCACAAAGGGTTTAGCTGCAGCCTGTGACCCTGACATCCTGTATCAGCACCAAGTTGAGTCTAGGCTGTTCCACTTCCAATCTAACTCACTGTTAATGTGCCTGGAAAAGCAGTAGAAGATGGCCCAAGTGTCTGGGCTTCCATCACCCATGTGGGAAACCCAGACAGTGTTTGTGGCTCCTGGCTTCAGCCTGGTCCGCCCCAGATGTTGTGACCATCTGGGGAGTGAACCAGCGAATGGAAGATCTCTCTGTCTCTCCCTCTCTCTGTAACTCTGACTTTCAAATAAATATAGCTTAAAAAAAAAAAAAAAAAAAGAATGACAACTAACATTTGACTAATAGACTATATATGGGCATATTCCACGTCCTTACCTATAGTGAATCAGAACAAATCTAGAAGGCAGTTATTACTGACCCAGTATCACAAACAAGAAAACCAAGGCAAGACTTGCCCATAAAAATCACAGTAAATAGAAAACTGTTTTCTAAAGTCAGCAAAAATTTAAAAAAAAGTTCACCAAGAGTTCACTGATTTCACATAATTCACATTAAGAAATAATTTGTGGGGTTGGCGCTATGGCATAGAGGGTAAAGCTGCCACTTTCAGTGCTGGCATCCCATAATGGGCACAGGTTCAAGTCCCGGCTGCTCCACTTCCGATCCAGCTCTTTGCTTATGGCCTGGGAAAGCAGTGGAAGATGGCACAAGTTCTTGGGTCCCTGCACCCATGTGGGAAGAGCCAGAGGAAGCTCCTGGATTTGGATTGGCACAGCTCCAGCCCCTTGCAGCCAACTGGGGAGTGAACCAGTGGATGGAAGACCTCTCTGTCTCTGCCTCTCCTCCTCTCTGTAATTCTGACTTTCAAATAAATAAATAAATCTTAAAAAAAAAAATAATCTGTATTAAACAAGGAATAAGTCTACTATCATTTCTTTAAAATACGGGTATTCTCTTGCAGTCATATGAACTTCAAATAATTATCAGGACCTGTAGTTTCACCTGCTTGGCTATGTAAGTGGTAATTTTCCTCTGACAATTTATAGTTAAGTTACGGTTATTAAAACGAGAAGCAAAAAAGTGGACCTCAACAGTCACGTGCTGATGTAATTTTATAAAAACAAGTAACATTACTTCTCTTTGAAAAGTGGAACATCCCCTAGTTCTGATGCTCTAAAGAAACTCTTCTACTCACCCCCCAAATATACTGTTTTTTTTTTTTTTTTTTCAAAAAATAACATCAATTTATAAATTTGTATTTTATGGACATTAAGACAGAATGGTCTGACAAGTTCTTCAATGGGAATTAGAATAACTAATATCAGACAGGAGACAGGTAGGTGGAAAATATAAAATAGGTGAGATAATAAGAGAAATATTCCAGGCCAGCGCCACAGCTCACTTGGCTAATCCTCTGCCTCCGGTGCCGGCACCCTGGGTTCTAGTCCTGGTTGGGGCGCTGGATTCTGTCCCAGTTGCTCCTTTTCCAGTCCAGTTTTCTGCTGTGGCCTGGGAAGGCAGTGGAGGATGGCCCAAGTGCTTGGGCCCTGCACCCACATGGGAGACCAGGAGGAAGCACCTGGCTCTGGGCTTCGGAGCGGCGCAGCGCGCCAGCCATGGTGACCATTGGAGGGTGAACCAACGGGAAAAAAAAAGGAAGACCTTTCTCTCTGTTTCTCTCTCTCTAGCTCTGCCTGTCCAAAAATAAATAAATAAATAAATAAATAAATAAGAGAAATATTCCAAGTAAGCATGTGTCATTCCTGGATTTGCACTAGGAAAGTTTACTAATTCAGAGTCTCTAAAGTGTCTATCTCTGGTTCTTTATTTGTAAAATGGAGTTAACAGTGCATTATAAGATGTAGTATTAAAAAAGATGTCTGTAGCAGCACTCTGAAAATTGGAATTCGAAGTACAAGGAACCATCATTAAACATGGTAATGCCACAGAAGAGAATAGTGTTGGGCATTTCTCATACTAAAAAACCTAATCTAAGATAGCAAGCATGTATCTCACTTGAAGTAATAGTAATCATTTGCACTTTGCATGGATGTACCAAGCAATGACATTATACTAAAGGCCCAATGTTCTAGTGGTTAGCCTCTATAACTATTTAAGAAGCAAAACTGTGAACCTGAATGTAATTTTTCCCAGTAAAACTCTCAACTGTAGTAGGAATGGAAGGAGAGAGAAAAAAAAGGTTTAGTAGATAATATCTTAAACTATATGATGTGATTTCTACTTGCTTACCCCCATCTAATAGATGTTAACATCTGAGCTACATCACATTATCAATAGCTTTTCTCAACTAATACCACAAGAATCACCGATTATAAACTTGGTTAAACACATGTCATTCCAAGTACTGTTGGCCCACCATGGGCCACATCCATGGATTCAACCACCCACAGATCAAAGATACTCAAGGAAGAGTGGGTCTTGTGGTACAGTGTGCTAAGTTGCTACCTGGGAAGCCCATCTCATACTGGAGTACAGTTTGAGACCTGTCTCCATTTCAGATCTGACTTCCTGCTAATGTATCCAGATGATAGTCCAAATGCTTGGGCCCCTGCCACCCTTGTGGGAGATCTTCGCTTCAGCTTGGCCCAACCCTGGCTGTTTCAGTCATTTGGGTCATCAGAGTCTTTTATGACTCTGCCTTTCAAGTAGATGAAAATAATAAAACATGAAAGAAAATTTAAGTTTATTTTTAAAAGTATGAGGTGGGAGAACTGCATTTGTACTGGCTATGTGCAGACAGGTTTTCCTTGTCGTTATTCTCTAAAATAGAGTACAAACCACTCACATAACATTTACAATGTATTAGGTATTATATGTCATCTAGAGATTATTTAAAATATCTGGGAAGGTGTATGCAAATTATATGGAACCACTATACCATTTTATGTAAAGAACTTCAGCATCTATGAATTTTATTACTGTTGGGGGTCTGGGAACTAATCCCTGCAGATATTGAGGAATATACGTCATTCTAGTCACATTGCTTCAATACATGTCTATTTTATAAACAAGATGAATAATGTTTATGCTTATTTCAAAATGTTTAAAAAGACGCTCAAACTAGCTGCCCACAAAATCAATCCATAAAACTTCCAACTTCCTCAAACCAGAGAGGCCAACCCCATCTTAGCAATCTGAGAAAGAGCACCATGTTGATTCTCACTGAAAGAACCAAGATTTTAGAGCCAGTAAAAACCAGCAAATTTAACCTGTGTTAGGCACATATAAAAGTAACAGAAAGCACAGATTTTTTTAAGTTTATATTCTACAAGTGTGATGTACAGAGTCACACTGGAAGCATACTACACTACCCATGTGACAAGATTCCCCTCAAAAGGGCTCCAACTGCACTGTGGCAGGGCACAGATCAGCAGCAACACCCTCAAGCAGATCAGTCTGCACAAAGCTGCATGCAATAATCAGGAGGGCATGCTTTAGTGAGAATATGAGTTTACACAGAAATTTTGGGTTAAATACATCAAACAGGGGATTTACATTCTCCAATTCAGAAATGGTTAAATTGATGCTACAGCATTCACAGTCTTATGCAAGCATTCAAACTACTATCCAGTATTTAGAATGAAACTCCATTTATTTTACAGCAAAAACAATCAAAATATTAACACCAGCATATCACAGCATAATAACTGATACTGATAAACCATACTTACTAACTGCCCACCTCTACTTTGCCATCCCCAAATAACACCATCTTCTGGTGCTGGCAGCTGATAAGGGGTCTGTTGCAGTGAAAATGAAGAAATGTCTAAGTCTTGTGGCTTACGGTGTAGATCCCCACTAAGCATCTGGGTATCTTCTATTGCATCTTTTGTGATGGTATTGGTGCAGAGATAGCCCACTTGATATCCACCATAACCACCTTCCAGTCTTTCAGAAAATACCTGACTTGTTAACCCTCCCATCGGGTAGTAAGAGAATTCATTCAACAACTGGCAGTAGAATTCCTCTGGGAAATTCTGCCAATCCACTTTTGATGGACTTGCAGGTATACTTATGGTATTTTCTGTAAGTGGCAAAACATGGTCACCACTTGGTACTACAATTTCTTTGCTGTCAATTAGGATGACAGGTATAACCTGAGTTGCATCATAAGGGGTAGCTGTGTTACTGTCCACTTGGGTGGGGTCAACACGAACTGAACAGGAATACCCATCAGAAGCGTCACATAGCTCTGTTTTTCCAAAAATCACCAGAGAATTTCCCACACAATGTACATCACCATTTAAGGTAGATTCTTTAACTGTAGAATTGGCATTTTTTTCTTTGAAATGGTATGCATGTCCACATGAACCTAAGCAGTCAATAATGTGAGGATCAACATTGTCTTTTTCCAAAGAGAGTCTGTCTTCCTCTTCTTCACGTATTAGTTTTGGTTTACTCAACCTTGATGGATTATTACCAAAAGCAAGAGAAACTTCCTCAGTTGATTCAGTGTAAATATGCCTCATCTTTGTGCTCTCATCACTATCAACAGAGTTCTCTACTACTTCTGACTTCTGCATAAATGAATTTGAACTTTGGCTCAAAGGTGGTAAAACATTAAGATCTTTATATGTGTGTTCATTCACGCTATGGGTTTCACAAATTTTCTCAATTGGATAAGCTTCAAAATCAGGGTTTTTCATTATACTAGAACTAACACAAGTTGGTACATCCTGACCGGGCATTGCTTTGCATTTTAGTATGCTAGTTTTCCAGTCAAAGGTTGTTTCAGAATCTGACTTGACATCTTCTATGGTATCTTTACTTATCTCTTTACAACTAGCTTTTTGTGATTCTTTTTCAGCTTTTTCTAATATGCGATAGACACCCTGCTGGTCACATAACACACTAACTGAACTGTCCACACATATTTCACCCTCAGTTTTGTGACTCGGCCCTGTTTCCCTTTCTTCTTCCTCAGAGGACACAGAGACACCCTGAAGAGACCTGGAGTGAACCCAAGACTTGCCATTTGAAGGTATTCCTTGTAAAAGTTCAAGTTTTGGATTTTTCATCTCATGGACTGCCCCCTCTATATCTGGCTCACACTCCACACAAGTTAAATCACAAGTCTGTGTCTCAGCTTTGTCCACCCTGCTACCTACACACATATTTGAATGACACAAAGATTTTAACTCAGAAGTCTTTTCACCATGACTCTCAGCCTCCAAAAAGACAAGCCTATCCTCATCTTGGTAAGAGGAATTATTTCCAGATTGCAAAGACAGTTCTCTGTGTGCCAGCTGGGAACTTTTGGTTTCTAGTCTGCTATCCCCTAGGCAGGGTGCAGATTTGGGGCCATCATGAAGTCTGCCCAGGGCTGCCTCCCTGAAATCGGTATAAACTGGGAGATACTCATTTCCAAAGCTTACTGAAGAGATACATCTTTGGGGACTTAAATTAATTCTGTCTAGACCAACAGAAAGGATACTATCTGATTTGTTAACATTGAGATGGAAATAATCATTATCTTTTAGTAGTTTTATAGAATTATTTTCTCCTTCCTTTTCACAGTTTAAACTCTGATCAACATTAATTGTTATAGCCTCAGGTTCACCATTCTCTTCAACATATGAAGTGTCATTATGTAAATTTATGGGTGAATCACCCATATGACTTCCTATCCCTGAACTATGGCTCTCTCTCTCTTCAGGGAAGGCACACATGCATTGTAGTGAGAATTCAGGAAGTAGGTCAGTAGTATGTAATGTACTGCTTTCTGTGTAATCTTTAGGGCATTTGGTATCACCTTTTGTCCTGAAAGAATTAGCCTGCACTTTACCAATGTTCACTTCAAGCAGTGGATTATTGTCCATCAGAAATTCAGAATTGGGTGTAATTTTCTCACTAACGACTTCCTTTATTTCAACTAGATGCAGCATGGGCTGGGCTGATAGTTCTTCCTGCTCTGGCTTCAACTCTTCTGCCCCTTGTAAGGCATGCAAGACTGAACATTCTTTCCTGTTGTCTAGAGGCCAATCCACTCCATGAATTCCCTCAGAGGTAACAGCTGAATGGCATTCTTCTCCAGCAGCTGTTCCATACATGGGAGTGCACAGTTCCTCATCCATGTTCAGACAGTCAGGATCTACAACACAAATACTGTAAAACTCGCTCTCTCTTGAATTCTTAGATTGTTTGTGACCAGCACAGACATAGTTTTCATTTTTTATCTCCCTTTCAGACATAGCTGAAGAGTTATTCTCATTGAAACTACCGATTCGAACATTTACCACTACTTCTTTCTCTATTAAAGAGTCTTTACAAGTGGCCTGGCAGCAGTGCAGATGGTCACCTAGAAAAATTTCTTCCTGCAGGCTCTGGTCAGAATGCAGCAGCATACACGAGAGAGGCAGATCATCTTCAGAACAATCCTGTCTTTCATTACTCCCCAACAGCAGGTCACAGACACTCTCAGAATTCTGCTCGATAGCAACAATATCTGAATTTCCGTCACTCTCACCCGAATTTTCATAACTAGTTAGGAACTTATAGGTCGAAGAGGAAACAGAATTCAGCGACTGCTTTGGTCTAGGACCCTTCTTGTGCCCAGACCTCACAAAAACTCTAGTCTGCATATTAAGGTCAGCAGCTGCTCTGCTGGCTCCATTTTCAACATTGTCAATCTCCTCACCTTCAAGGGTATCAAATAATGAAGATAAAGTTTTACTTATCTTGTTCTCCGGTTCCTCCTCCTCCACAGATTTTTGTAACAGGCCAATTTTCTCACTGTCAGTGTCACTACTTAAGTCCTTGCTGAAGCAACAACCCATGTTCGAAAGTTCAAAAACTTAAACTACAATGCTTGTCCTTTACTGGGCCTCCATCTCATACTAACTTGCTATGCTTTCTGAGGAGAAGCCAACACCCACATGCCAAAAATAACTCCTTGCACAGCAGTCACAAGTTCCTGTCACTCAAATCCAAATCCTAATGACAACAGAGCTCTGCCTGACAGCCATCGTACTGCATCTGCTGAAATCCAATCAGCACACAGAATCCACATACAAAGACCCAGGCACAGCAGCAGGGGAAAAAAGCTACAGGCCACTTTTTTCTTAGAGTCATAAAGTCAATTTTTAAGAAATGACAACTTATCCTAGGAAGAGGAAGGAATTTTAGATTTCCGGTTCTTTTACAGTGTTTCAGTATCTTCTAAATTATATTTTGTGGGATGGCAGCATCCAAACAAGTTAATTTGTAAATTTCCCAAAAATAAAATACCAGAAGTGTTTTCCTTAAAATTTATAATTATTTATATCAAATTTTCTAGCTTGTTGTTATTAAGGAATTATTGCTAATTGTGTCAGGGATAAAAATAAGAGTTGTATGGAACGTGAATATTTAGTCTTTGTCACTGACAATACGCTGTCTATGATTTGCTTTCAAACACTGCAGCAAATAATGCAAATGTAAACATACATAAAATGTTTAGCTATTATGTTGTGTGGGCAGAGGAGAAAAAGAGTAGACTAAGTAGCTGTGCAAGCTCATGATGGTTATGCTGGAGTTAATTATATTATTTTACTTCTATAGATGTCAGAAAATTCTAACTAAGTAAACAGGAAAGAACAAACCAAAAGAAAAAAAAGAAGATCTGCTCACTAATATCAGAAGTCTCTCAATAGCAACTGAAGCCAGAATAGAGGGCCCTTCATCTTACTGGTGATAAACAGGAGTCAATTACAACTAACCAGGTTCCTCTTATACTATGTAGTCTATGACTGCTAATTTATATGAAAAGTTTCTTACGTTGTCATTCATAATATTTCACTCTTAGTATAAGCAATTCTTTTTCTTACAATGGTTTTGACACGCTATTTAAAAAAATCTGTTAACTCCACTGCAAGAGAGATTTTGCTATTCTATAAGTGATTACTTGAGTCATATCAATGATTTTTAGGAAATAAAAATTTTTATGTTAAAAAGTTTAGGAATAGATAACAGGATCACTTCTGAATGTACTTAAACCCAACTACAGACTGCACTCAATGATGATGATAACAGCAGTAAACACTTTCTATAGCACTATGTAACACAAAAAGTTAACTACATCAATATTTTCATTTTGTTACATGTTAACCCACACCCTCAGCAACCCTTGCAGTAGAACACCATTAACCTCACTCCTCAGATAGGGGGGAATAAGATCACTGAAAGCACAAGTAACTGGTTCAGATAACTAAACAAAACTCAGGCAATACAGTGCTACATTAACCACAATGGTAGTGCAACTCCAGGAATATCATGCATAATTAGAATGCTTCTTTCTCCTATTATCTCACCTATTTTATATTCTCTAGCTACCTGTCCCCTTTCTCTGACATTATTCTAGTTCCTATTCAATAACTTGTCAGAGAGACCATTCTGTCTCACATCTATAAAATACAAATTTATAAACTGATACATTATTTTTAAAAACAGAGTATAATGTTTTTGAGAGTAAAAGACTTTCTTTAAAGCATCAGAACTTGGGGATGTTCCCTTCTTCAAAAAGAATAAGGTTGACTGTTTACAAAATTACATCAGAAAGTGGTTATTAAGGTCAGTTTGCTTCTGGTTTTAAAAACCATTGCTTTAACCATAAATTGTCAATTGAAAAATAACACTTATATAGAAAAGTGGAAGAACCTGGAGTTCCTGATAATCATTTGGACAGAGACACAGGAATGAAAGATAAGGCATAAATGATAACATTCCTCTTAAGATCTTGGCTTTGAAGGAGACATTTTCTATT